TATATATATATATATATATATATATATATATATATATATATATATATATATATATATATATATATATATTGATTTTTAAGTGAGATTATTTTAATTGAAGGCATGGAAATGACAAGGGTTGACCAAATCCGACATGTTACTATGTAAAGCTAATTAATTAAGTGCAACATGGAACTAACTTTAGTCAATTATATATCACAATCAGAACTCACATTAATTAGCAAATTTAAATGCATGACAGACCATTAAGGGTTGTGATCTTAATTAACTGGTCCAAATCAAGAATTATTGCTTGTTTATTAATTTCTTCAGTGTTAATAGGATATGTGGAATCTCATTACTATATAAAATCGTATTTGATAGAAAGTCATAATTTTTTTTTGACTTTTATCTGAATTTAGTTTGAATTTGATGTACTTATCAAATATCGGATAGAATACAAAAAATAGAAATGTATAAAATCCTGGCCATATAATCAAATTCTAGCCTTTTTTAATTAAGTTTATATATATATAGTTTATATATTTCTTCTTTTGGAAATCATACACATAATGAATATGAATTAATCAATTTAGTAAATTTTAAATACCGAATAAATAAAATTTTAAGAAATTGTTATAGCATAATGAAGTAGAATGGGGATGTGAAGAAACGAACGTCGTGTTTAATCTTCCATATTTGGTTCATTCTTTCCTGAGAAAAAATGTTTTATTTTGGCCAAAATTGTTGTTACGATACTAAACTTTATGGAGGACCTGTTACCCTTCTGCATTATTTAATAGTGTATTTTAAAGATATATATGTGTCCACGTAGACACGTTACTATTTATAATCATGCAATATTTATGATGTCCATGTGAACACATATATCCCTTTAAATTATACTATTAAATATTACAGAGGGTAAAAGGTCCTCCGTAAAGTCTGGTATCATAACAGTAATTTCGACCAAAGTTGAAGTATTTTTCAGGTCTTTTTCCCTTTTTTCCTTAGCGGAAAAGTTTAGAACTCTATAAATTGAAGACTTTCTCTTTTCATATCAACAAAACAATAGTATCCACAATGTAATCGTTTAGAGATCGAGTTTGTCTATAGAAAGATTTTCTTTCAATATATTTATGTTTTTCAATATTAATTTTATAATATTAGGCTGCTTGGCCAAACCATATTAATAATATGTCTCTACTATACTTTTATTTGTCATTTAATTTATCAATCATATAATTTACAATTAATCCTCTATCGCTTTCGAACTCAAAAGAAAATTGTGTTAAAGGGCCCATATATCAGATGCAAAATCTAATCTAATTCTAGTTATAAGTCAAGATATAAAGATTGTCAATAAATTGGTTTTTCCAAAAGCCAATTTAGGTATTCAACTATATATCATAATGAATAAGGTACAATTTTCTTTAAACTTATCTTTTCCTATAGTGACTATCATAGGATATATAATTAGCATCTTGACATTATTAACCTTATAATTGATGTATGTTTTCAATTATGACCATTTTCATACATTGTACCAAATCACAAAACATCTTAACACTAAAATAAGTCCATAAAGATGCATACAAAAAATGAGTAAATAAAAAAAAAATTGTCCCCTTTAATTTTTTTTTACCTAATGGGGAAGAATATTGATTTTCTACATAGCACCAAATTAGTCTAGCTATCCACTTTTATTTTATGTCCCCATATACCTTCTTTTATAAAGTTGAAATACTGTTTAATAATAGTGATTTATTGATGATACAAAACATACTGGAATTATGATTCTAACTAGAGTACTTGTACTTATTTGGTGACGCGAAGTCAGAATCTGAATTATATGGATTTAAAATTTAAGAATACTAATATCAAGTGTCAGTATTTATTTGATGAATTTTTTTAATAGAACTACAAAATGTGAACTAAAGTTACTGTATATCTGGTTGAATTCGTACATCGACTTGTAGCTCTTTTCCTACTTATTCACAACATTAAAAAAAATGAGAGAATTCAAATAATATATCATCAAATAGCCAATTTGAATAATCAAATTATATGTGTTTCATTGAAATGATTCTAACTATTAACAGATAACATGCGAGAAAGGATTTCTCGTCAAGTAAGTTTGGGGAGTGTGGACATATTTGCGTGAATTCAGGTAACGGTTACAAGGGGAAGAAATCGAAAGGAAATTGTACCCGACCAGAGATGAACGTAAACTCGTAACCTAATGTATGAGATGCCTTTTTACTTCATATATACTCAATGACATGAGATTATTTGCTTCATATTACCTTTATTGAATCTATGTTAACTCAATGGACTAAATTTTCCCTTCGAAAGATAGAAATAACGTTTACAGACCAATTTTTTAAGTAACCCTTTTCATCGCATTGCAAATTTCACAAAAATAATTTCATGATAATATTCTATAATAGTGATTATCTCTCCATTACAAAAATCGAAAAAAGTGATTATTCGTGAAATTTACCCCTTTAAAAGAAATTTAGATGAATTCTTTTTCTTTTTTAAGACAAAATAATTTAAACTAATCAACAAGTCTCACAATTTAAATAGTAGCCACACAAAGGATCATTTGTACAATTTCCTTGCATTGCAAATGGAATTATAACACATCCCATGAATATTGTTGTCCAATTATTTTTTTTAATGGAAAGTCAATTCCCTTCAATTACACTTCTTGCTTTTTCTAATTAAAAAAAAAAACAAAAAACTAGTGAATTTCAATATGTTGCTCATAATAAATTTGTGCAACATTTGCAAAATACAAACCAAAGGGTGATCTCTAATATTTTTTTTATTTTTTTTTAAAAAAACACTATTAACTAATTAGTATAATAAGATATATTCAAATCCATAGTAATAATAGTAGTAAATCAAAGAGAAAGTCTGAGCTCCAAATCTAAATCTTGACAGCCATTTGATTCAGAATTTTGACTATTTGAACCAATAGAGTCACTTCTATCTTTCTTTCTCCTCCTTTCCATTGAATCCTATAAAAAAAAATCAAAAAAAAAAATCACAATCAATTTATTATTGCATTAATATTAACTTAATTACAACGCGTCAAGGATCGTGCTGGAATAAAATCCACAAATAACCACTTTATTACTCGTGTAATTGAAATGTAGCATGTTATGGAGTTTCAAATTTTACAGGTAAATTTAAAGATATTGTCACGATGACATTATTTTCAATTACGTTGATAGAAAAGTAACCAATCCACACTATTTCATAGTTTCACTCTCACTGTGAGAAAAATCATTCATTTTGAATAAGCGGTATCACTTCAGAATTTGGCTCGTCGATAAGGATTTTTGATATAAAGAAAGTTGTCAGGAACTTTACTGACAGGTCACATTCTGACGAAATCCATCAAAAAAAGGAGATTGTCTGCTAGTATCTTAATCAGAGATAATGGATTTGAGCCCTTAAAAAGAAAACTAAATTAAAATCATGTATTTTTTCTTTAACGAGTTTTATATTGTGCGAATCCTGATTAGTCGGATCGTCCGAGTGGATACCAACCCCCTTCCCCACATAAAAAAAAACATGCAAATTGTGCAACATGGAATTAATAAAGTAGCAAGTGAAATACCTCTATTTGCATGTTGTGGTGATGTCTAGTCATATTTGGTTGAGCATACACTTGAGGATCATATACTGTGCCAGGATGCCATGTACTGAAATTAACCACAAAAGTAATTAGAATCATTTTTTTTTCAAGTACAATTGACAATATTTTATGGAGATTAATAAGTAAATTGTGAGATCAACAGTTCAAATTGTCCATTAAATTATTAATATTCCTTGATTATGAAATAAGCAATAATTAAGTACCTTTGTCTAGAATTAGGCTGAGAATCTCCATATCTGATATTTGCTCCTTCAATACCACTCATTCCCATCTGAAATTTTTTTTGTAGATGAAGTGAAAAGGCAATAAAAACAACAGTTCGGTACACAAAATATCTTATATTAATGTAGGGTTTGGGAAATAGTCGTATCACAAGGGTATTGGTTATTTTCACGGCTCGAACATATGAGCTATAGATCACATACAGACAACTATGAGGAAATAAATACTCTCTACATTTCAATATATGTCTCTTACACTTCTAATTCTATTTTTCTTTTCAAGAAAATAAAAGAAAGAAAAAATATTACTTTCGATATACAATAACTCTCTTTAAAGACTACAAGATTCAAAAGATATTTTGATACACTCAACATAGGTCACAAGATTCATCACTCTATATCACTTTCTTAAACTTTGTGATAAAATCAAATAAAGACACATAAAATGAAACTGTACATAGGTCACAAGATTCAAAAACCAGTCTGTCTTAAGATTATGTCCAATCAAATTAAGACACATAAAATGAAACTGTACATAGGTTACAAGATTTAAAAATCATTATTTCTCAAAATTATGTCCAATCAAATTAAGACATAAAATGAAAAAAAAGTATGAAGTACCCTAATAAAGAGGGAAAATGAAAGTAGAAGTGTATAAATCTCCTCCAAATACACATACTAGAATGATCTTTCACAATTTACTCATTCAAAGAGGTATAACGGTCCGATCGACTAGACTTAACATATATGTAGCCACTAGAGTCATTCTGAAAAGGGAGAAATTAACACTACTCGGTGAAATAGGTTCTTTTAGAATCAATTTGCTTATATATTTTGCTACAAAATTAGTGGTCAATGTTTCTATATACTGTATGGAAAAGTTTATGAAAACAAAATGTAGAAACACAAGTATGTATGTATATCTAGGGTTAATATGGATTAATTATCACATAAAAAATCAGATTTTTTTTTAAAATTAATAACACTAAGATCATTATTTCTCTTTTAAGATAAAGTAAGAGTGATTTCAAGACAATCACAAAAAAAATGATCTAGAAATATGGACAACAAGTACATAATGTTTTGGGACATCTTCCCACATTATTGGAATGATAATTTTTTTTTTAAAAATAAAACTTTGAAATCCTAAAGAAAAATAGTTCATATATCCAATAATTATATTTCAAATGCATACCATAATGCCTTGGTGGTTGGGATAACCATAAGTAGAAGAAGTTGTTGAGTATGAAAAAGATGAAGATGATGAATATGTTGCTTGTAGTCTCATATCCTCCTGCAAATATACAAAATCCACACAAACACACAAATATAAGAAAGAGTTACATCAAAATCTTGAAAAACTTGGTCAAGATTCTAATTCAAAAGAAAACAAACTTAGGAGATAGTGAGTATAGCAGTGACAGAGTCAGAAATTTAGACGTTATGAATTCAGAATCGATGAGAAAGTGAATTATATACTACTAAGTTTTAGCCTAAACATGTGAACTTATTTTAGATCTACTACTAAAATTTTTGAAGAAACAAAAATGATTAAACTTTATATAACAACTTAAAATTATTAGATCCACCACTAAAGACTTTTTTTTTTTGTTTTTTGGAAGAGATAATTAAACAAGATAATTAGAGAAAAGTTAATTTAATTACCTGAGTGAGATTGTTGGCATAAGGATTATTATTGTGAAGATAATTAGCACCCATTTCACTATGCAATCTAATTTTCTCTAATTGAGCAACACCAAGTCCTCTTTGTGGTTGTTTGTTTGGTTTTTCTGAATTATTTTTCTTGTTTTTTCTTGATGATCCTGATGAAGATGAAGATGATCTTTCATTTACAAAGTTTGATTCACCAAAATAATTGCTCCCCATATTTTCTATAAAAAAAATAATAATCAAGAAAATAGTTTTTGAAACTTTGAGATTTTTTTTTTAAGAAAGAAGAAAGATTCAAGAATTGAGATGATTTTTAGAACAAAATATTTGTAGCATTATAAGGTTAAAACAATTAAAGAAAGAGAGAGAGAGATCTTCAAAAGGAGTAGTTTTTTTTTAATTAAAAAAAGATGACAATAATTGCATAGCTGGAAGAGATTGCATATAGATTTATGGAGATTGATTTGATTTATCCTTATATTATTGGATTTTATACCCTTTATTATTATCATTTTGTTTTCTTTTAGTATTTAATATCTGCATTGTAAGATCGAGTAAATCTGAATCATACATTGTATAACTTATTTTTAAGGACAGGTCGTGCTCCAATATAATTTTTTCTAATATCATGGGCACAAAGATGAGACCCTATATCCTTCGCATTTTAAAAAATTTTCATTTGACATTCGATATCAATATTAAAATTTGACTATATAAAACTTATTTATGAAAATAACATTTTCAACGAAAAAATGCATTGTTAGAAGTTCGAACTCGAAACCTACCTTTTACTTTTACTAGCTAGGTCATTTTTGTGAACTTCTATAAAATTATTATTTATTATTATTATTATTATTATTATTATTATTTATTTATTTATTTATTTTTATTATTATTTTTTTGTCTTAGTCAAGGCTCAAGACTTTGATAGTGATTGTCTCTCTGATCATAAACTCATAAAATAATGCAACAATTCTAAATCATATATTTCCCTTACGCGCTTCACCTCCCATTGTTTACTCACACATCATTCAACGATCGCTATTCATTTAAATCTGAATAAATTTTTAAAATTTTATTATATAGCTAAATTTCTTTATAATATTTTTATTCGTTCCATTTTTTTATTTATAGTAACCACCTATGATACACCTATAGCAACATTTTGATAAAAGAAATATGATTAAAAGAAATTAGTATTATAGTGGTAATTTTACCAAAAAAAAACATTATTATAGAAATAGATGTTGTTATTAGTGATTAAAAAAAATTCTATAGAAAGATAAAATATAACATAAAAGTTGGTTTGGAAAATATTATTAAATGTTTATAATGAAATTTATTAATTATATACACAATACTAAAGCTAGAAATTACAATATGAGATCTTTTCTTTTAAAAAAAATTAGAGGTTTTTGTTAAATATATCATATATGTATTAGTGTAATGATTTTTTTTAATATACTAGGAAACCTATTATGACAAATTAACTTAACCTAACCTTATAATAGACAATATATTCTCCTAATCAACTTCAAATTTTTACAAACAAAAATATTTTAAATAATCCAAGTGGCGTGCTTCATACCCCTAATAATGTTAATTATAATATTTTCATAATTGTGTATTTTGGATAAAACTTGGGAGAAAATCTATAGGAATTTGGTTGGTATATCATTAATTAGGTAAGATGCAATCAAATTTATAATTATAAATAATGATTCTTTCATTAATGAAAATTAAAATTTCCTTCCATCTATGTAGATTTTCAAGTTCTTTTTTCAATGTACTTGTTCATCAAATTCACAAAAAAAAATCTCCACAGAGATTTTCTTCTGAAAGAGATGAAATAATTATATATATGTAACCTTATAGAAGATCTTCTTTGCTATTGTAATTAATGTAACAATATATTTCATAATAATCTGACATCTGAATACATAAAGCATCTCATGTTCATGCACGTTTTAGAAATAGGTAATATCCTCCGTATTAATATTAAAACTAAATATTATCGAAGAGTAAATCAATATTTACATGCATCTGATATTTATATCAAACTAGCTAAGTAATTTAACTTAAGAGTAAAAATAAAATAAAATGATTGATATAAATAACCTAATCATGGATAAGAGAAAAATATGTTGTGTTGGTGAGAATATATTTATTAGTCCCATTAAAACAAAAGTAAACATACAAATAAAATGAGTTATACGACATTATTAGAAATATACTGGATCAACTAATTTATATTTGTATCGAATAAGATTAATTATCTGGAACGATTTATTATTAGAAATATTTATTTTGTATTTAGGTTTTGAACTCGCAGCTTTTATAAGTAAAAGTGTTAAAAACTTATTCATCTCATTACACTATGTTAATTGTTAATAATGCTAAAATCAGTTGATATACAATCTAGATAAGTATTTTGTATTCAGATATATAATACTAATAATAATATAAAATATTGAGCGTGAATAAATTTTTTTGGGAGAATAGGGGAGTTGGCATGCAAAACTATATCAAATCGAGCTGTTACACGCTATAATTTGTGGGTCATATATTATGAGTTGTTTTGTTGTGAAAAAGAGAGAATAATCTCATTTGTTAAACACACATGTGAACTCAATAAATTACAAAAAAACAAACCAATCAATTTCTTAAAATGATGTCAATTTTTTCCCCTTAAAATTGAAGTAAATTTAAAGGAAAATTCAATCTAGTAAAAAAATTTAATTCGATTAGAATATGATTTGAGTTAAGCCAAATATCCATTTATATTGAGGTTTAAGAGTTAAGGTACAAAATATTTTAACTATTTTTTTAGGTGGTGGGAAGGGAGTTGTGTGAATTCATTAAATTTAGCGGAGATCTCTGCGATTATATTGAGAAATTTATTAAATAAATAAAATAATTATTGAAAACTCATTAATAAAAGAGAGAAGTATTGAAAATATCCCTAAACTCAACAGTAATTATTAGTTTCATCCATGTACTATTGACAGCCTTAAAAACAACACTTTAATTTACTAACTGAACTTAAATACACCCTCAATCTTGCAATATGAGTAAATTACACCCCTAAATTCTCGTCAAGTTTAAGGTGTTTTCTACACTTCTCTTGACTTTTTATTAAGAGTTTCATGCTCACGCTTACAAGAGTTTGAGACAACTAACTATGTCATGTGGCAAATCGAGGATGTATATATTTAGGTTAGTCAAGTAGAGGATCAGATACTTTTAAGATTGTTAATAGTCCGAGGACGATAATAATAATTTACATCAAGTTCAAAGATATTTTCAATACTTCTCTTTTAATAAAATAGTATTTTGATTAAACAGTATAAACAAAACTTATTTTTACTTTTCTATCCTTCTTGATGAGGATTTAATTTAATATTATTAAAAAATCAATAAACTTTAAATTCTGAATACTTTAATTTACTTCTAGAAGTGGGAACACAACATAAATTCATAAAAATATATTCCCTAGACATGAAGAAACACAATGACCCTCAAACCTTTTTTAAGAGAATTTTGATTAGTTTAACAACATTATTATTAACTAGAATTTCATTATTTTATTAGATTATGGTTGATATGGTGTCTAGTTGGATTGATATGGAAGTGTTGTGTTATTCTCTTTTCTTATGTTTTAAAAATATATATTTTTTCTCTTTCCAAGGGATTTTGTTTAGCAAATCCTGTAGAGTAATGTATACTGTAGTTTTGCATGTGCCCACAAATCTACAGTAGATATTCTTCCACTATTTGTTTTGCCTTTGTTTTTTTAATATCCTTCCTACTTAATATTTTAGGATATTATTATTTCAAATCCCTAAATTACTAATAATATAAAACTTTGCTTTTGGTCTTTATGATATATGAACAATAATAATAATATACATAGTAAAATCTAATAAGAATGATATGTATATCGTCTTATTTTTATTTGTGTGAAAATAAAAAAAATTGTTTATATATGTAGTGAAATCTAATAAGAATGATATGTATATCGTCTTATTTTTATTTGTATGAAAATAAAAAAATTATTTATAGTAGATTTTTTATTTAAGTAATTACGTATATCATAATTAACCATGTAAAATAAATACATCAGAAAAAATAATCATGTACTAAAAACACAATGGAGAAGAGAGAAGTAACAAACACTAAATAATAATATGATATAATCGAAAAAAAGAAGACAAGAAGTAGTTTTTAGAATCACTATAAAAATATTAAATTACATGGGGATTTTTTTGGGATTGGTATGAAAATCAAAAAACTTATTTTTCTATAAATTTTCATACTAATTTTCAGAAAAATTCTCATATAATTTACAGTTTTCTTGTAGTAAATCGAGGTATACGCTAGTAAAAGCGTAATAATAACAATACTATAATTTAATATATTTAATCTTTAGTTAATTAAAATGTGTGTTCCTTCACGTAGAAAATATATTATTTTGTGACTATTTATAAAACTATATTTTCGTAAATATTATGGAGTACTAATATAATTTTGACATAACACATATATAATTAAGCTATGGAACAAATAACAAGTAATAGTAAATACATGAATATTCACAAATAAAGGAACGAGTGTACAATTCAATAAAATAAAGATTAAATATATTTAATTAGATATCGTAAAATCTAAAATAAAAATTTATCAATAATCGATGGACCAAAAATGTTATATCATTTGCTAGAAAATCGAATCATTACTACTAACAACTACATCAAATCTCCACCTAATCAACATGTAATCCCTTTGTTTCCTCCTACGATTGCTTTATTTATTTTTTAATATTTATTATTGTACTTATTGATCCTTTATTGTAATTATTATGTTTTTAATGCTATAAAAAAAGATTAGGTTCTGCATAACCATTTTTTTTAAAAAAAAATAGTGATTATGAATGAAAGTAAGTGATTCTGCAATGCTATTAAAGTAATTAATTACACTTTATGAGACAAACTTTGGGCTCTACATGTCTAGGCTAATCCACTTTTTATGTTTATACTTTTTAAGTAAATATTTTATTGTGATTTTGGAGCACAAAAATAAAAAAAAATAAAAAAGAGACACCTTTATTGATATTTCCTTTCTGTCTACAAATTCTAGGGATAATAAATATTTTAAAGCAATATTCTCCAAATAATTTGATTTGTTAAGGACTAGTTATTCATCATCTTTTTCATGTTATACTAATTCATATATATAGTAAACAATAACACAATAATAGTGTCTTAATCCAAACAAATTAGGATTGATTATATGAATTTTCATTATCTCATTTAATTAATTTAATTCATATCGTTAACGTGTTTAATTAAAACAAAAATATA